AAAAAACTCAGTGCCATTTACAATACCAACAAAGAAAATAAAATACCTAGGAATATATTTAACCAATGAAGTGAAAGACCTCTATGGGAAGAACTATGAATCGCTGAGGAAGGAAATCACAGAGGATATAATAATCACAGAGGATATAAACAAATGGAAAAACATATTATGCTCATGGATCAACAGAAGCAACATGTTAAAATGTCCATACTACCCAGTCCGATTTACAGATTCAATGCAATTCTCATGAAAATACCAATGTCATTTTTTGCAGATCTAGAAAATATAATTCCATGCTTCATTTGGAATCAGAAAAGAGCCCGAATAGCCAAAGCAACCTTAAGCAAAAGAAACAAATCTGGAGATGTCACTGTACCAGACTTTAAGCTATACTGCTAGGCTAGAATAACCAAAATAGCATGATATTGGCACAAAAATACAGACATAGACCAATGGAGCAGAATAGAGAACCCAGATGTAAAACCATCCACATATTGCCATCTGATCTGGAAAGAATCCCTATTTAATAAATGGTGCTGGGAAAATTGCATAGCCACATGTAGAAGATTGAATGAGGATCCATATCTCTCACCACTCACTAAAATTAATTCAAAATGTATACATGCTTAAATGTAATACATGAAACCATAATAATTATAGACGTAAATGTTGGAAAAATTCTTCTAGATATTGGCCTAGGCAAAGTATTTATGAAGACCTCAAAGGCAATCACAGCAACAAAAATAAATAAATGGGACATGATTAATTTATAAAGCTTCTGCATAGCAAAGGAACCAATTAACAGAGTGAATAGGCAATCTACAGAATGGTAGAAAATATTCTCATGCTTTACATCCAATAAAGGGCTAATAACCAGAATCTATAAAGAACTCAAGCAAATCTGCAAAAATATCAAATAACTCCATCAAAAACTGGGCAAAAGTTGGGAATAGAAGCTTTTCAAAAGAAGATAGACAAATAGCCAATAAACATATGAAAAAATGTTCACTGTTACTAATTATCAAGAAAATGCAAATCAAAACCACAAGGAGATTATCACTTAACCCCAGTGAGAATGGCTTTTATCAAAAGTTCCAAAGCAATAGATGCTATTGTGGGTGTGGAGAAAATGGACCACTTATACACAGTTGGTGGGGCTGTAAACTAGGACAACCTCTATGGATAATAGTATGGAAATTTCTCAAAGAACTTAAAGTAGACCTACCATTTTATACAGCAATCCCACCCCTGGGTATTTACTTGAAGGAAAAAAAATGTTTATTTTATCAAGAAGACACTTGCACTGGAATGTTTATAACAACACAATTGACAATCACAAAGATGTGGAATCAACCCACGTGCCCACTAATTCATGAGTGGATTAATAAAATTTGGTATATGTGTATCATGGAGTATTACTCAGCCATAAAAAAATTAATCAATACCTTTTGTAAAAATCTGTATGGGACTGGAGACCATTCTCCTAAGTGAAGTATCACCAGAATGGAAAAACAAACACCACATGTACTCACTATTAAATTGCAGCTAACCAAACAGCACTCCTGTGCACAATCAGAAGTAAAACTCAAAGGAAATCAAATGGGGAGGGGAGAGGGAAGGAGAAGGATGGGTGAAAATCATACCTAATGAGTATAGTGTATGCTATCTGGGAGATGAGCACATTTAAAACTTGGTCTCAAGCAGTACACAAGCAATCCATGTATTGTTTCAAGCAGTACAAAAGCAATCCATGTAACTGAAATAGCTGTGCCCCTGTAATATTCTGAAATAAAATTATAAAAAATAACATGAGTCTGATAAATATGCTTCCTTTTCTGGAAAATTTATGCACCTAGTGTTTTGAAATTTGATTGACTTGCAAATGTTGCATAAGAAACTATTTGTCCTTAAAAATGGCACAAAGAAAAAGAATCTTGAACTTTGACTACCTGCAAAAATTATTTTATTCATTACACGTCATTATACTTTAAATAGACCATAGCTGCAAGAAATGTTTACAGAATTCTTCCTTTTAATTAATACTTGAGACCAGATGATATAAGCATGTCTTGTTTTCTGGATTTTAGCTTTTTATTCCCCATTCCTCTGATTTTGTCAACCCAATTACTACCCTACTAGGCCTTAGAATATTTTAAAAAAATCTGAGAAGGATTTATGTATGTCCTGCTTTTTACCTTCTGTTCTTTGTATATTTTTTACATTTTTCAAACATGACTTCATAGCTACTTTATTGCTAGTGGCAGAAGAAGTAGCTGTGCATAAAATATAAGCATTTTAATTTTCTATACAAGTTTATATTCATGAAACACTTAAAATTTTTTTATTATTTTAAAATATGTATAAATATATATTTATACATAAAAAGAATAATGTAATTTATATATAATATACAGATAATAATAATAAAATTAGAATTTATGAAATTGCCATTCAAATCTAGAACTAGATCATTACCATTAATTTGCCTGTACCTATATGTTCCTCCCTATGCCACTTCTTTGGCTACCCTGCCCACTGAACTAGCTATATCTTTTCACATACTTCTTTGTCTTCATGTAATTGTTTAGTCACATATGTGTATATGTATGTTTAAAAGTGTGTAATTTAATTTTGAACTTTAAAAAAATGTTTTCATATTTAAACTTGTTTTTTTCACTCACCATTATGTTTCTAAGATACTGTAGATCCACGACACCATAGTTCATTCATTTTTCACAGCTCTATAAATTCCATTTTGAGAACATACAACAATTTATCCTTTTTCCTTTTCATGGACACTGGAGTATTTCTAATTTTTTAGTATTGTGATGTATGCTGCTATGAACATTTGGGTTTGTTTCTTGGTTCTTATATGCAAGAGTTTATCAAGTATGTATACTGAGCAGTAGAAATGCTGGATTATAGGAAAAATAAATGTCCAGTTTTACCAGATAATACCAAATTATTTTCTATGATGGTTAGAGCAATGTGCAATTTTCATAAATAAATAAAAGTTACCATTGATATGTGTCTTTTTTTGTCCTTGTATTGTCAGACTTCATCATTTTTGGCAATATTTTTGGTGTCAGTGGTATTCGATTATGATCTTAATTTGCATTTATTATCATTAATGAGGTTGAGAATCTTTCCCTAGGCTTATCTCTGATATATGTTTCCTTTTCTATGAAATACCTGTGCATACCTTTTGTCTTTTTGTTTGTTTATATGTCTTTTCTTTTTGATTTGTAGTTCTTTTCATGTTTGGGTTCTATTCCTTTGTCCATGTGCTGTGGAATTATCTTCTTTCAATTTGTGCCTTTTCTTTTTGGCTTTTTAACTGAGTTATAACTGGCAATAATAAAGCACACAGGTGAAATGCATAATTTAATATGTTTTGACATATGTATATACTGTTAGCACAATGAGATAGTAAGCATACCCATCACTTGTAAAATTTTCCTTACTTACTGATGTTATAAAATGCTCCAGGATCATTTTTTTATGTCTTCTGCCCCAGTCCTAGAATCAACCATTTCTCTAAGAAGGCCTGGTTTGTTTTATTGGAAAATGATATTAGAAATTAGAAGTTCTAGGTATGCTTGTTGCTACTGGGATATCCTTGCTTCTAGGCCTTCTCAGCAGACAGATCCAGGAATTATGTGACAGAGCTAGGAAATGTCCACGTACATATTAATTTCTATACATATTTTTATCTATCCATCCTATATCTCTTAAAAACTTTGAGTTCATATATATACATCCAATCCTAATTTCATACCACAGTGCTTATGTATTGCCTTTTACCATTAGGTGGAGAATGCTATATATTGTTCAAAATCAGGGTGCTAGTGTGCTCATTATTACTATGGTATCATCGCTTCTAGGCCCTCCTAACAGACAGTACAAAGAAATATATGTGTATGCAACTAACTTGTATATATACATATCTGTAAATATTCTTATATGTATCCATCTGTTTCTATATTAAGCTAAACATAAGTTTATAATGAGGTCTTCAACTCTAATCTGATACAGGAATCATTCTAACCTTCCCTCACTTGTTCCTACTCCAACAGTTAGAATCCTGTCTCCCATCATCCACCATCCATTTACTCAATTGTTGAATTCCAGTACACATGTATAGCAATATCAGAATTGTTAATCTGTACCACATGGAAAACAAATGTACCAACTGCTTTTGTTTTGTTTCTTTGTTTTTGGTTTTATAGTCTCTGCTTATTTTCAAAATTACTTAGGTCCGCACATATTTTCCTACCACCTGCATTGAGGTTACTGCATACATTTTTAATGCAGTTACATTCTTTTGTAACAGTTTGAATTTCATCTTGGGACCCATAACTTCCTAAATGATTTTTTAAAATTTTGCATGCAATAAGGTTTACTCTTTATGATATTGAGTTCTATGGGTTTTGACAAATGCTTCATGTTGTGTACACCACTGTAATGTCATTAAAGAATATTTTCATCATTCTGTGCTTTGCTTATTTACTCCTCCTTCCTTCTCTCAGAATCTCTGGCAACCAATAATCTTTTTACTTTCTCTTTAGTTTCACTTTTTCCAGATATTTAAATGGAGTCATACAGTCTGGCTGTAAGACTTTTCAGTCTGGCTTCTTTCACTTAGCAATATGCACTTAAGATTTATCCATGTTTTGATAGCTTGATAGCTTATTTCTTATGATTGAATAATATTCCATTATACAGATTCAGTACAGTTTATTTATCTATTCACTTATTGAAGGACGTCTTGGTTGCTTCTAGTTTTTGCAATTATGAATAAAGTTACTGTAAGCATTCTTATGCAGATAAAAAGGTAATTTTCAGGATCTCTGTTCTGGTTGTTTTACTTTGTGATCCATATTTATGCATTTATTTTAATCAGCAAAAAATTTTTATACACATATATGTGTACATATACCCAGAAGCTATTTATAAGGTGGTGCATGATATTTTGATGTTTCCTTGCATTTTCTTTACAGATATTCAAGAATTTTATGAGGTGACATTGCTTAATTCTCAAAAAAGTTGTGAGCAGAAGATAGAAGAAGCCAATCAAGTTGCACAGAAATGGGAGAAGACATCTCTTCTCGCTACAGGCCATGATAGCCCTCAAAAATGTACAGAGGTATGTTTTTTTGAAATGTTTTAAATAAATGAATAATATTAGGACTTACTTGTCCCAGTGAAAACTTATTATGAACAAATAGCATATTATTATTATGAACAATAGTAGAAATGTAGTTATACCATACTGTATGTAATTTTTATATATGAAAATCCATGTTTTTCCAAAAGATAAAATATGGCATGGAAGGACAGGATTCTTCATATTGTATAAATGAGTTATGCTATGAATATTGTCATAGTTTGAGTTGAATCAAGTCTAAGGCATTCTAAAATTTCAGAACATTGTTCCATGTGCAGTGGGGGAAGGAAATGGATAGTTGATGGGAGAGTGTGGTTTGAGGCTGTGATTTTCATAGCAGGGGCATATATCTTGGGGCATGAATAAAACAATTCATTCAAGGGTAGAAACAAAATAATGGAACTCTCATTTCCATGTCTTTTAATCACATTCTTTAAAATTTTCAACATTTTGGTAATTTATGACATATTAATAGTAATACATATGCATTTAAAAAATAAATGTAAAGGTATTAGAGTTGTATGCTCAAATGATTTTACCAGATAAGATTATGGGATCAAAAAGTTTGGATACTATTGTTGGAATTAACATTTATCAAAGGGTAAGGCAAGTTGAGGCATGTCTCAGGTTCATAGCTAAGGGCTGATGTGGAGGCAGGGGCAGATCAATGATATTTTTAAATTGCAGTCAATACTTTGAAGGTAATAGTACATACCTACACACACAATTGGTCAGGATTGAAATTGTGGCAAAGAGATGAAGAGGAGGGAGCATGGAGTGAAGGGGATGGTAAGAAGAAGGCAGGCCACAGAGTTTAAGGAGGCCTAGCCTATTCATGGTAACATGACATAGATGGTGAGATGGTCCCAGCTACTTGATGGTCTGGGAGAAATCAAACTTTGGCCAACAAGTTGTGCCACTGGCATTTTGTGGATACATACTGTTACAATTACAGGGTTTGTGCTGTGCACTAAGGTATGATACAAACATTGAAGAAAATAAAACTGTTGTGCTGCTACTAAATGGGAAATTAATTTTATCACTGGATAAAGACACTTATGGGTTCAAGATGGCTGACTGGAAGCATTTCATAAATGCCTCCTTCTCTTAGAATAATCAGAGTAGTGTAGTGCATAGGCAGTCACACATTGAATACCTTATGTAAGAGAGAGCACTGGAATTCAACAGAGAAATTACAGGGGACACCAAAAGTGGGGAAGGAGAAGGAGGAAAGGTAACCTTGCTGGCTGGGATTACCTGGGAGCTTAGAGTAACTTCCCAATATGGAGAAGGGGTAAATAAGAGACTTCTATCAGCCCACATCTCTGCTGTGAAACTGTGCAATCCTGGCTGCAGGAGAACCCCTGAGTCTTCCTAACTTCTTAAGCTAACATAGGAAGCTTCCAGGAGACCATGGGGTAGAACTGCTCCTGGAAGGGAGCTTGTGCTGGGTCCCATACCCTTTCTGAGACCTAAGTAGATACAGCAAAGTGCCATTTTCAAACTCAGCTTTTAGCAAACGACATGCTATCCTGAGGCCCAAAGGTGCTGAAACTGGGACATTAAAGAAACTTGGGCTGTTGGTGCGAGGATAGTAGAGTGAGCCAAGAGTCCTCTCACAACTAGGGCTGGGACCTGAGCAAGGCCTGGGTGGCAGAAGCTGGTGTTAGGAAGCAAGCACTGCTAGGATCTGAGGCAGGGTGTAAGCAGGGGAACAAGTTGTCACTGAGACTTGGTCATGAGCTGGGTGTAGGCTCCTGTGGCCAGGGTAGGCAAGTAAGCCCTGCTGGAACTAGGGCATGAAGAGGATGGGCATTCCTTACCAATGGCCCAGGCTGTGGCCACTGAGGATGGTCCCACCCTCTCTAGTGGTAGGGCCTCAGTGTAGCTGCTACCATCCTACACTCTAGCACTCTGCCTTGGGACTGAGAGTCACCCTGCCCCCACCCACCATGGCTAGTGTTTACTTTAACCTCTGGGGGGCCTGAGCAGAAGCCTGCCCAGCCCAGCTTTTCCCCACCCCCATGACAGTGCACATAACCCAGGGTCCTGGGATTGCCCAACCCAATTCACCACTTTGGGCACCTGAGCACTCCTTCCAGGGGCCTGAAGTTTGGCCTGAACTTCTGGCTGCTACTTCCTCAGCTGGCACCTATCTGCAAGTGCTACTTGCAGGCCTGGAAACTGGCTTACCTAGCCCATTGCAGATATTGCCAACACACAGATAACACACAGTGCTTGGGATCCAGAGAACTGTCCCACCACTGCTACTGCCATTGCCCTTGCCACACTGGCTGCTAGGAGTCCAAGAACCTGCCCACCTACCTGGTCCATTATTACTATTACCAGTATCTGAGCAATAAATAAGAGACTGGAGACTGAAGAATTGAAACTCTGGTAATCACCAACACAGATGCCAGTATGCACTGCCTGGAAGGCATAAAGATAGGCATGCTCAGCCTATTGCTGCCACCACTGGAGTCTGAAGATTGGCCTACCTGGCATCCTAGTCCCCAGCACAAATTCACCACAGCTTTCACTAATAACTGCACCCTATCCCACCAAGACAATCACATATACTGCTAATACTGTTTATAGCCAAAGAAATCAAACAAAGACTACACTACTGTATACACCCAGAATCAAAGCCGAAGTACCCTATCCAACCAAAATTATAGATAGCATCTTCAGAGAAAGGTTCTCCCCTATTAAAGTGAATTCAAAAATAGGAAGAAGTGATTATTGCACCAGATGTGCAGAAATCAACATAAAGACACATGAAACAGGAAAAATCAAGGAAATATGACACCTCCAAAGGCACACAATAATTCTCCAGAAACATATCCCAATCAAAGAGAAATTTATAAAATGCCAGTGGAAAAAAAAAGTCAAAATATTGATTTTAAAGAAGCTCAATGAGATACAAGAGACTTCTGAAAAAAATACAAAGAAATCAGAAAAAAAATTCAGGATATAAATGAGAACTTTACTAAAGAGCCAAACAGAAATTCTAGAAGTGAAGAACTTATTGAAGGAAATACAAAATATATTTGAAAGCTTCAACAATAGACTAGATCAGGCAGATGAAAGAATCCCAGAATTTTAAGACAAGTGTTTTGAAAAAATCTGGTCAGAAAAAATAAAGAAAAACAAAAAAAGGAGGCAAAGCCTTCATGACATTTGGGACAACATAAAGCCACCAAATCTATGAATTATCAGTATATCCAAGGGCAAAGAGACAAAGAAAGGATTAGAAAAGCTATTTAACAAGATAATAGATGAAGACTTCCTGAATCTAGAAAGTGATTTAGACATTCAGATACAGGAGGTTCAATGATCCCTCAAGTGATATAATGGAAAAAAGTCTTCTCCTCAACACATTATAATCAAACTGTCTAAAATCCAAGTTAAAGAGCAAATCCCCAAAACAAGATAAAAGCATCTAGCCATCTGTGAAGAAACCCCATCAGACCTACAGTGAATTTCTCAGCAGAAACCTCATAGGCCAGAAGAGAATGAGATGATATATTCAACAGCTGACAGGAAAACCAGCCAAGAATACTATATCCAGTAAAATTATTTTTCATGAATGAAGTAGAAATAACGTCATTCATAGACAAATGTTGAGATAATGAGTTACCACTGAACCAGCGCTACAGGAAATACTCAAGGGAGTCTAAAACTGGAAGTGAAAGGATGGTATTTGCCATCATGAATACACATGAAAGTATAAAACTCATTGGTAAACAGTCATATAAGGAGGAAGAGAAAGGATTCAAATGGTGCCACTACAGAAATACACCAAACTACAGTGAAAAACTACAGGAGAAAGAGAAAGGAACAAAGAATATATAAAACAACCAGAAAACAGTTAACAATATGACAAAATGAAGCCTCACATGTCAATAATAAGCTTGAATGTCTTATAAAGGGATTAAATTCTCCTCTTAAAAGATACAGAATGGCTGAAAGGATGAATAAAACATGATCCAACTACATATAGCTTACGAGAAATAATCTTACTGATAAGACACATATCAATTGAAAGTAAAGGAATGGAAAAGAAATTCCATGCAAATGAAAGCGAAATTTAGAGGAGTAGCTATACTTAGATAAAACAGACGTTATAAACAGTAAAAAAAAGACAAAGAAGATTATTATATAATGATAAAGGGATCAATCAAGCAAGAGGATATAATAAATACACACATATACACACACACAATCTCTCTCTCATTCCACACCGGAACACACAGATTCATAAAGCAAATATTACTAGATCTAAAGAGAGAAATAGTGAAGAAATTCAACACCTCACTCCCAGCATAGACAGATCATCTAGACAGAAAATCAATAAAGAATCATTTAAACTGGACTTTAGACCAAATGGACCTAATAGATATTTTTAGAACATTCTACCCAACAACTGCAGAATATACACTCTTGTCATCAGTGCATGGAACATTCTTTAGGAGAGATACCACATGTAGGCCACAAAACAAGTCTCAACAAGTTTTTAAAAATTGAAATATCAAGTATCTTTTTAGATCACAATGGAATAAAACTAGAAATTAATACCAAGGGGAACTCTGGAATGTGTACAAATACATAGAAGTTAAACATGCTCCTGAATAACTGTTGGATCAATGAAGAAATTAAAGTGGAAATTAAAAAACTCCTTATAATACATAAAAATGGAAACACAACATATTCAAACCTGTGGGATATAGCAAAAGTAATGCTAAAGAGAGGAATTTCTAACAATAAATGCCTATGTGAAAAAAGTAGAAAGATTACAAACTAACCAATTCAACAGTATACCTCAAAGAACTAGAAAAGAAAGAACAAACAAAACCAAAGATCAGAAGAAAACAAATAATGAAGATCAGAGCAGAGTTAAATGAATTAGTGACTAAAAATAACAAAGAATCAATAAAATGAAAAGTTGACTTTTCAAAAAATAAACAAAATTGATAAAG